CGCTTCTCTTTGTCTGTGCGCGATTCTCAACACGCTCGGACACTTCTGGAAAATTGGTCCCCGAGCGAGCCGCTTCCGAAGAGAGTTCGCTAACTCGCTCCGGTTATTCAAAGCGAATTCGTCCGCGTGAGATGACCTCGAACGTCGTTGTCCCTACAAGTGACTCGGCCGCGAGGAGACGTCATTCCTATGATTTTTCTTCACGCTTTCAAGTGTTGTTATGGGTATTCCGATTTCGATCGGACGACTTAACGATGTGAGCTGTGCCGTGCGGTTCAGCCACGCTAATGTGCAACGACATCTCCTGAACGGCGGACCGCGGAGCCTGAGCCAGCAGCTTGTTGCTTGAACGGTTTGCGGCTACAACACCGGTGACCGAAGAGCAAGACCGCGGGATGAAGCGAGAACGCAGCGCGTACGATCACCTGCGATCGTGATCTCGGAGTAACGGTTCTCAGCCAACGACTTCTTGACTTGTTGATCGTTTCGACATATCGGTCTTCGTTGTACTCCTCATCATCATCACCGTGCTCGTCGTTGTTGTTGACGTTGGCGGTTCGACGGCACACGCCAGGCCGGGTCATGTGCGATCCATATGTTGTGTTCAGGCAGCGACAGCTTCGGACTTGGACTACTGCTGACTCGAGAGGCTCGGTGCGGAGGTCGCGACTCGACCCCGGGTCGAGTGTCGCTTGTTCTTCCGATTCCAGACTCAGGAAGTCCGTGAGCCCGGAGCGTGAACTCCGAATACGCTCGCTGCCTGAAGACCACTGTCCAGACTGCTCTAATGAGCAGTGCGCGGAAGGGCTGGGGTGTACCAGTTCGCTCAACAGCATCGTCGGCACACGACGGCGACGGTCGCCGTCTGGTGTGTCGATGTGAGCTATCGTTTACATAAGACAGCCCAAAAGTCTGAACAAATGGACTTCACCGGTAGGAGGGAGGAAGCTACGAATGAATGAATCAATGAATGGAGTACGCATGCATCCGAGCTGCGGTAGAGCCAACGGGAACCACGCAGAGAGCAACGTGTGGATGGGAATAGCCATTCCATAGAATTCGACCGCGAAGCAGCAGAAGGATTTCCGAATCCTTGCCATGCTCGGAGACCGACGATTTTCGGCGCTCCCGGCTCGGACTCTTCCGCTACCCTTGGCAAAGGAAGCGCTTCCTCATACGGTTCTTACCGAATCCGAAACTCCAAGTCTACGTTCGTACGTAGGAAATTGGGAGGCTCCTCTATTCTCACGGCGTCCGAATTTCTAATAACGGGACGGAAAAATGACGACCGCACAAAAACTTTTTTTTTTGCCAGTATCTCAACTCCCTCCTTGTGGCCGGCTACCTGGCCAAGCGGTCCGTCGGTCAGTCGGCTGGCTAGCGAGCTGGTCCATCGTCGACTCTGTATCGTCTTCGACCATTCGGGCCGCTCGGTACGTCGACCGACGCTCAGTCACTCGATGTCACACGGAGTGAGTGTTCTTTCGTTCCTCTTGTGACGTGCGTAATTGTCGGTTGGTACGCCAATCCGAATTGACGCTCACGTCGCTTACGACGTACAACCCAACAAACGAACAAGCCGAAAGAGCAAGCTTTTTCTTTCCTTTTCTCGTTCGAAGCTTTCGGCAGAAATAAGTTTCGTCGTTGCGAGCATTATTATCCGCGCGTAACTTAGCGGCAGCCCCTCGTTGCTCTGCCCGATTTGCTTAGCTTCCCCGAAAATCGGCACGTTAGCACCTTCTCCGGAATATACTGCTCATTTGCCACTAGCCGTCGGCGTTGGTACCGACTTCTTCCGTAGGTGATCAATGTAATGAACGAAGACGGTAGCTTGTTACGGTGCCGTAATCCCAAACGTTTTACAGTCTAGGAAGAATCAGCTCTTTTCCGGAGACAAGACGAACCATACTGTTACGGCTTGATTTGAGGCGAATCTTCTTTTCCCCGGAGTCGTGGAATGGAAGCCCACCGTCGCCGGATTTTCAATTCGCGAACTTCTCTCTCTCTCTCTCTCGGGATATTCTCGGAGCGCCGATCGCGAGAACTCCATGGACTCAGATCGCCGACGTGCTACTCATCCATTCCGTTTCGCGTAACGGCAGAGGGAGTCACGGATGGAGTCGCCCGATGTAGTCTCCTTCGTCAGGATTAGAATCCGATTGTCGGGTTTTGACTGACTGACTGAGTTGAGCTACTGCAGCCTTTGTTGCTGTTGTTGGCGGTTATTTTTTTCTGTTTAAAGCATCCGCTCATTCGCTGCTCGCCAGCCTGGTTGTTGGCGCTAGCAGCTCCGTCGCCAACTTTCCTCACTTGATTCAAAGCTTCGACGAAGATATAAATCAAAAAACGTTTTGAAGGCAGGTGGCCGCCGGGCTAAAAACCCAAAGGTTACCAATAGCTTTTCCATCTGAAAAGCCAACGAAAAGTTTTTGCTTCATATTTTTTGATGATGCCTTCCGTCTTTTGTTTGTTCACTCCGTCGTGTCGTCGTATCTCGCATCCGATCCACCTCGAGAGAGATTTCGGAATCCCGTGCACGATGGAGGAGCATTTCCGATTCTTCCACTTGCGGTAGACGACCGTGCCCCACAGAGACCGAAGCGGAAAACGTACAAGCCCTCTCGGGTGAACTCGGTCAACCCATCGCGATCAGGGTCCTCACGGTGACTAATCCCGCGAGAAGGAGATCACCGTGAGATATAACAGATCAACAATCGGATCCCCACGTACAGCGCCGCTGCTGGCGCTCACAGAACGAAATTGTAGGCTTCGCTCGTTGTTGTTGTATTACCTGAGCAGAACCGTCACCCAGCTGTCTAGAGTTTTATTCAAACGCAGCTAGCCTTGAGAGCATATCTCACAGCGGCAGCGTTGGTCCACCCGCTGCCACAGCCGCTGCCCACGAACAACTTAAACCCCTCGTGCTCGTTATCTTGCGACGACCGGCCGGCACCCGATACCAGAATTTTCCAGGAGCGCCGTTGACTCAGAACTTAAGACTGTTTATCTCGAGAGGGATTCGAATGCACGTCGTATTTCGGGTAAATCGGGGTAGGACGATGTGAACTCTGGCTCCGTTCAGGTAGCGAGAACTGCAGCTAGGTATGTAGATGACGGCCTTTTCCCGTGTTGTTGTTGGTCTAATGAAGCATCGCTCATTAATGCTGTCTTTGGCTGACTAGAAGGTAGCGGAAGGTTGTAATGGTGCTCGTATGGATGCCGTTGCAGCGGCAACTGCGCACAGCAACTGTTATCGGGGTGACTATTAACGTAATAGTGCTATCCATTGAGGCAGTGCACTGGCGTCGTTGCTAGCACAGCGGCGTCCAGGTGTAAGAAGAAGTATACAGGTGCGCTGGGCCTCTTGCTTAGGACCTGGTGGACCGGACAAGCAGTCTTGCTCTCCGTGGAGCGACTCCACGCAAGGTCCACATTAACCGAGTTTTGAAAAGTCGCACGTTTCAAGTTTTCTGAGTACCTTCTCGCATGCGAGGACCGTTCGCCGGACTCGGGTCCGGGTTTCAGGGCGCGGGCGCGCTCACGGAACCTCCGGCGACCTATTTCGGCCTCGGCGTCGGAGGAGACGGTCGATCTGTTGAGGTGAGTTTCGGAGATCCGAGGTACTTCCGGGACCTGGTTCGCCGAGAGGATCCTCTGGATATCACTCGGCGATCCCGACGACCACTCTCTTCGAAGCACCATTCCGCTTCCGGTGCTCCGACGTAGCCATCTCACTCAGTCGGAGACATGATGCACTGAATCAACGGACAGCTTGCCTGGTTATAACGCTTCAACGGACAATTGCTGGTCTACCGTTCCACTGGGTCGGCGTCGACGTCGACGAAGTCGACGCCGCGCGGTAAATCTCTGCGTAGATGCGTTCGCCTCCCGGTTTTCGGGGTCTCGAAAATCAAATGAATATGCTCCTCACAACGTGAAAAGCTCACTGACGACGTACATTTACGAGCTGATAAATTGTCGCCGAGTGAGCCGCGTGATTCATCAACGAGGCCACGAAGTTCAAATCATCCAAGACCATACTTCTGACTCAACAAAATGGGCCGTTCCTCGAAACCTGAATCAGAGGGCGCCGTTTGATAGGGCAACGCGACGTTGCTCCTGAAGGATTCCCTTAGACTGCAGATCCGCATCTACCCGACTTCTGATAGAGAGTTTTTTCCAAGCAGAGTCTCGCGGCAGAAAATTCCACATCGCGCATAGAGCCTAGCCCAGAAGAGGAGCACCAGAGGACTTCGGCAACGAATTCTCCGAAAATGCAGTCGACGGCGCGCCGCGTTTTTTCCCCCCGAACAATAATAAAGGGAAAAATGAGATGAACATGAGCCTGGAAACTCGACGACATTGAAGCCTCCTCATTGCGTGACATCTAAGCGAGGAAGGAGCGGGGCATTGTTATCCATTCGAAACAGAAATCCAAGAGTCTTTTCTTTTTTGGTTTAGCGCCGACGATTTGTTTCAATGTTCCAAAGTTATGGTTCCGCCCGCCCGGTCGTCAAACACCCCGTAAGCCCAACTGGCCCGCGGTCAATTTCGGGCTTGAAAGTACTAAACTTCCCCCTCGGATTTCTTTCTAGCTAAAAAAAGCGGGCGTCTCAAGCCTTCGTGTATTCTCTACCGGTATCTTTCAAAGCAGAAAGTATGGATTCTTTGTTTCTCCTATCCCGATACCGTGTTTGAAATATGTGATCGGGGCATTATTTGGCAACAATTCTAGCGAATCTTGCTCAAAATTAAATCCAATCTCGCTCTGGTAGCGACGATTGAGTCGCGCCGCGCCGTTTCTGAGAATACTACTTGTAGGAATTTTGGCAAGCTATTCCTCCCGAAGATACGGATCGGCTGTTTCATTGCTACAGGACCGCGCCAATTCCGAAACGAGGACTAGATTTAGGAGAAGGAACCTCTCGCTGCGGAAGTTCCCTCTGATCACCCGAGGCATTGGAGGCGATCCAGAGAGTCCCCGAGAGTCGAATCGTCCGCGCCGCAGGACTCACCTTTTTTGGCTGACTTGTTGTTGTTCTCCTGCTCAGGATCGTTGGCTGGAGGGGAGACGTGATTATGCAGAGGTACGCCCTGCATCTCCATCATGTAGACAGCCGTGTCGTGGTCAGTAGCCATGGTCGGATAGACGCCGAGTCCCACTGAGGCTAGAGGGGCTTCAACGCCACCTCCGCCCAGAGGGTATCCACTGATGAGATCCGTCGTGGCCACTTCTCCGGACCGATAGTCAAGCGATATTGCTCCCGGTTGAGATCCCAACGTCGAGGGATCCAGGAGTCTCAGCTTAAGATCCGGTCCGTAGCTTCCAGTAGACCTAGAATTCGAAAGATTTATGCATTAGCTCCTCGTCCCTTGTCCCGTATCGTTGCTATTTACGAGAGAAGCCGCGGCGGTGAGCCGGCCGTCAGGAGCACCTGCGTGCTCTCTAGAGCGTACCCACGTCACCGGGGATCGTACGGCGGGGAGGTGTGGGAACCGGCAGCAGGTCAACTCACTCCCCCTCTTCATCTTCCCCCGTCATCAAGCCCTCATTCCGTATCGCTCCCGTGTGGACCCTTGCTCGTTGTTCGCATGTGTGACAGTCGGCGCATCATGATTTGTTACCGTAGGAGGCGTCATCACACGTGCGAATTCGACTTCTGGCAAAGCACGTTCGAGTTTGACGTTTTTCGCAATCGCCATTCACTTATTCTCCGACGAGGGTCCGCCCATCAGTTTTCTCTCACTGAGTGTACCCATGAGACATTGGAATAGTCGGAGGAGCGCGTCACCTAGACGACCTTTGAGAAAAATACGAAACTTTCCCTTCCGTCCTTGAGGTGGGCGCTTTCGAGTAACGGATCTGACTGGCTGCCCGCCCGCCTGCCTGCCCGCTTGCCTGCCTGCCCGGTTCACTTCGGTGACTCGGAGAGGTAGCCAACTGGAACCACCGCTGGAATCGCTATTTGCTGGAACACACGGCCGCTTACGCACATAACAAACTAGCGGGACTGACCGGCTCTCAGACTTACGGTCGGACGGACCGTCTCGCAAGTGTCGAGACCGGCTCGGACACCGCGCTCAACAGCTCTTCGAGAAACTCAACAAAGTTCCTTCCCGGGTCGTGAGCTTCCCCCGGAGGATGTCGAGAAACGCCGCACCCTCTTGCGAGGAGCGATCCTCGGCCGATTCTCGCGTTTTCCGTTCGAACTGAGGTCAATACGAGCATTGTTTTGACGTCAGTCGGCATCCGACCCGCCGTGCGTCGGATCGACTAGGGTCGACCAGTGCGAGCTTTGACCCGATCATCTCATCCGCTAAGCCGCCATCGCAGCTCACTCACATTTTGGCCTAGCGACGCTTTTATTGCCGTAGCTCTTTTATTGGACATCATCATCATTATTATTACTATCATCATCATCATCATCATTATATTATTCAGGGATCAATGACTGGCTCGCTGTCGATAAGGCGGAGAGTCCGTCGGCGTTGCTTCCCCTCGTAGCACCACGCTGCAATAGATGCCGAGCACGACTACCGTACAGCAACAACGACAACATCAGGGTACGAATTTCCGCAGTATTCGGATCGGATCGTGAGAAGCGGTCGCGGCGATACCAGCGAGCACGACCACTGGTGGCGGCCGGTCGAAGAATCAAAAAAGATTTCCACCGGCCGAGGACCGCCCATTATTATGAAGACCTGTTGTGCGGAGGCGTCGTTTTATGCCGAGAATCGCCGTCGGCATCATCTCGAGGTCTCTGTCGCGGGCGGAATACGTTGGGCAGACTCGCGGTGGGCACTTAGCAGACGAACGAGCGACCGAAAGGCTAGCGAGCGATTGGTGGGCATCGTGTTCGTCGTTGTTTGTTTTCGTACGATGAACAAAAGCTTTTGTCTGTCCCCGAATCTTAAATGTGATGTTCACTCCTCGTAGGTCGCTCGTTCCATTGGATCGCGGTGAGCGTTCTAGCGCTTGCCAACTCTGAGCTCGACCGGGAGCGTAGTCGACGACGTCGGCGGCGGCGGCGGCACTATCATTGTGATGATGATGATGGAAAGATTCGCGCGATTCCCATGAATATTCCTATGGGTGTATGTGTGTGTCACACTTCCTACAACGTCGACGCGACCGTCATCAGCCGGCTTGTTCGTTTTGCTTTTCGTCGCGATCTTCGCATGCGCATGTTCGGTCGCAGGCATTCCTCAATACGTTCTTCCAATCCGGTCGGCCGATCCGACCGACTTCCGTTTGAGAATCAAGTTCGGTGGGATAGAGAATTTCAAGGTTGCTCCCTGCCGATGACGCTCTCCCGTGACATCGTGGCCACGTTCTTTCATTCCACTCATTGATCGGCTCTCTCGTTTGTTCCGATAGGAAAATATCGCTCAGTCGATAGTGGGACCATAATAACGAGTTAGAGAGGAATATAAAAAGATGAATTCCTCTCGCCCGATTCTGTTCGAGTCTATTTGACAGTCCGGCTCGGCTCACCTGGGCCCATCTCTGCCCGGAGCGCTTGTCGTAGTTGCCCCATTAAAGTCCGTAGTTTCTATGACGACCGTCGGCACCTTGCCATCAGAGTACCTTTCACCCACGCCACCACCACCACCGGCTCCACCACCACCGGTAAGAGCGGTGACGGCGGCGGCGGCGTCGACGGCACCACAAGCAAAAGAGGCCCCAGATCCTCTCGTCTTCTCCGGATGCAGAGCGATTGAGGACTACGCGAGGGACCACGCTACTGCAGTAGCGAGTGAGCAACCAGTGAGCTAGTCGAAAATTGCTATTTTCTCTGTTTACGTTGTCGAAGTCGTCTACGTCGTGCGTAGTGCGTGAGTCGGGGGACGAGCGCTCAAGACTCGAACGAGGGGGGAGAATCTCGGGAGAAAAATGGAACGTCAGCCTCGCGCGCGAATACGTCAGCCTCAATATATCCGCGTTGTGAAACAACGCTCTTATCGAGCTCAATATCGATGCGATGCAATGCGGAATGTTTCTGGTGATTGCGAGGGTGGACTGCGCCGCCGTCAGCCGCGGCAGCAGCATCAGAAACGGCGGCGGCGGCACGTTCGGAGATGTATTCGCCGCGACAGCAATCTATTGTTCTCCTGTTTGCCGGCAATGTGGAGAGGCGTTTTCAGTTCGGAAAGCACAGGAGCGACGTTGCTTTCAAGGACAGAAGACCGATGACACCTGAGTTCTGAGTGACGGCTCTGCAGGCTGCACCGAAATATCGAGTGTTCACCGTGATCGGAAAACCAACCGCGTCGTCGGAAGCATCGACTCTTCATCGCAATCAATCCTATTCTGATTGATGGAAGCATCGACTTCCAGGCTCCGGTTCGGGAACTTTCCAGACTCCAGGTCGGGGACTTTCCAGACTCCAGGGCGGGAACTCTCCAGGCTCCGGCTCGGGAACTTTTCAAACGCCAGCCGGAAAGCGGAACAAAGCCGCTGAGCTCCCGGGGGAATGCGCTGATTAATGCGCGGACCTCCCGGGGGAATGCGCTGATTAATGCGCGGACCTCCGGTGGGATGATCGGTCTCATCGAAGTGTCGCCTGAGCTCCCTTGAGACTACGTCGCGTCATCCTGGTGTGCTCTAAAACTTCTGACTGAGTGAGAGGTAAATAAGTGTTCTGGGAAAATCCAACGGATCGCTTTGTCGCCTTCTCCTCCTCCGCGAGATCCTAAAGACTTGAGATTGGCGGCGTTTAGACACGGGAAAAAAATCTGATTCACATGACTGAAGTGACGGTCCGCCGGTGCCGCTGCCCCAACACCGTTTCCGCTGCCGTACCGCGGCTGCTGATTTTTTGAGAGTAGTTCACTTTTCAAAGAAGAGACTTTTCCGCCCCGCTATGCTTCGTTGCAACCCGGGCTTTCCAACAGTAGGATCACTTTCTCTCTCGGAGAGGATAGCTCAACGAAGGCTTGGTTTCCATAGTCGTGATTCAACTGTTCTGGTCGTCGGCTTCGGACCATGGAGCAGACGGCAGAGCCTTGTTTTCCAGTCTGAGTGAGTCAATTATCCAAACGGTTCTCGTATCGACCCGGAGAACGTCCCGTTCGCGGTGTTAGTACCCCCTGATCGATGGTATGCCCTCGTCTTCCCGGGAGGCGCCCGATAAAGGTACAACCCTTATCAACGTTCTTATAACATCATCACCATCATCATCATTCATTTCTCCACGTTGACCGGAACAATCGATATCGAGGTTTTCGAAAATTCTCGGCAAGCATGACCCAGTGCCAAGATTCCGAGATTGGCAATGCTACCACACCCCCGTCGTTCTTCGGGGGGTAGACTCCAACCGAGAAGAAACACAGAAGAGGTACTCAGAAGATGGGCTCGAATACGCGGAGGGAGGGGATATAGCGGCATCGCAGAAGTTTTGGAGTCCCTCCGACGAGCTATTCAATAAGCAGCTATCTCTGGGCTGGGCGTGAGTTCCGATTCATTATAAGCGGTTAGGTCGGTTCGTTCGATCGATCAAGCATTGAAGTGCATCGTTTCATCGGTCCACTGTGTTACACTTAACATGATCAGGTTATCGTCTCGGCGGCAGCAGGTTCTGTCAAACCAAAACATCGATAAAGCTGCTCTTTACGTAGCGCTTGATGAGGGTAACGCCTCCTTATACGCTTCGCTCGTTTCAGCTTCTTGGGATGAGAAGGCGAACGGGCAAACCACCTCCACAGACGAGTCTTATAGGTATTTCCGGTAGTTTCTCCGAAGTGGACAAAACCACCTAGTGGGGTCGCAACCGATCCTTCACAAGGTCTCGCATTGGACAAGCGCTCTTCCTTTATTGATGCATCGCGGGTAGCGATATAAGGGATTAGTCATCGTCCGCTCAGCATCTGAGGGAAATCCGCGCAGTAAGCTCGACCCGAATCGTAAAAGTTGTGATTGCTCGCTACCTGTCATAAGTCCGTTCTCGATCAGACGCGTTTTCAAAGTCGAACAATTACTATCTTCCGAAGGAAGTCTAAGTCTGAGTATTTAATCGTCAGCGAAATCGTGAAAATCAAGTGCTAACCTTTGCCGGAGCGGAGCACCGAACGCTATTGAGAAACGGCGAAGGACAGACCGGCGCACAGTC